GGGAGCGAGCCGTCGGGGGAGCGGGACAGGCCGAGCGGCCCCGTGCGTCCCGTTGCGCCCTGCTGCGCCGGCCAGCCCGAGCCCGCGTCCCGACGCCGCTGCGGATTCTGCGCGTCGGCCTCCAAACGCCTCTGCCCTTAGGTCGCAGGACCTGGGGGAATGAAAGACGAGGCAAAAAAGACGCGTCCCTCCTTACGTTAAAGTCCGCGCGGAGCCAGGAAGCCAGTTTTCTGCAGTCCTGGATAGTGCATGACTAATCACATCTTAGTGGGTTTTTTTAAGTGGAAAAACACAATCCGAGGTCTTCAGTTTTCCCAGTTTTTGTTTTTATAATTATTATCTTTCGGCATCTGGCTCTTTGTGATAGTCATCCAAGACAGTTAAAAGAAGATCGGAGTATTTCACTTTCGAATGCTTCCTGTAGCCCAGAGTCGCAGTCTGTCATCGCTCTTTTTTTTTCTCCGCCTTCAAGTAAATCGTCTAATCTTAGGTTTATTTTTTTTTTTAAAAGTCAAGTTCGTTGATCTTTCTCAGCTTTCTGAATCTTTTCTTGTGTTAGGACCTAGCATTTGGAAAGAAGCAATACTTTGCAGAAGGTTCGATTAAGAGATTCTAGAAAATGTGTTTAGTGTCAGGTTTCAGCTTAGCGCAATTTTAGCACTATCATAATAATAATACCGTCTACAAGCTGTGTCATACATGTGCTCTCTCTGCCTAGGTATAAGACACCACTCCCCTCGGTTTGGTTACCTGTAACTGGTGGAGTAAAGGTAAAGAGATAGTCCGCAAGTTAATTACAATTAGCCCCAGTGGATTCGGTACAGTTAGTATTGAGCGTCTGTAGTGCCAGGTTCCCTGAGAAGTTACTGTTAATTTGAGCCTTAACTTTCTAAGAGAAATTGCATAAACTGGAGAGTTCTGCTTCTGTAACAAAATTTCCTTGGCAGAGAAAAAATCAATGACATTTCCAAGTTAGTAATTAAAAAAAATGGATTATTTACAAAAATTACTTAAAAGTAAACTCATCTTAAGGCTCTTAAATAGAGCCACATGATGCATCTAAAATGGGAAGTGATTTTTATGTTAAACATTGTGTGGGGGTTAAGATTATGGAGTAAAATAAAATGGGCATGTGAATTGTGTTGCTGTTTTAAATTTTATAGGACATGTATTAATTGTGCCCAAAGACTTCAACATGTTTTTGTTTAGTGTGGGATTGTTTTGTCTAAGTGGGCAGTGAACTAAGGTAGCACACTGTCAGAATATGTAGGTGAACCGTGAGGACTTCTTATGCCTGTTTGCAGGCTAATCCTTCCTGCAATTGAGACAAGGTTTTTTGTTTGTTTTTTAAATCCCACAATAGGGGAGTTCAAAGGTGACTTTCCTGTTGGTTTACCATTTTCTATGAGGTAGGACGTCCGTGAAACATTTTGTTAACTAAGAGTGCTGAACCTTGTTATGTGGAGTAAGCACTTTTTACTTTGCTGAAAAGCTTAAAGATTGTGGCAGGGACCAGCGGGAGAGGCCCAAAGGTTTCATTAAGTCTTGTCTACCAGCACTTTTCTCCTCAAACAGAGCGGTAGGCAAGGTAGGAATAGAAAATGTCTGCAAAATCTACCTTTTAATGTTCAGTTCTTATAAAGTTTTCTTAATGGAATTTAGTTGGAGGAATAAAACCTTTACTTTTCAAAAGAAACAAAAGTTTGATTCTATTCTTAATTTTTAAATCAATTTTTAAACATGTTAATTCCACATGTTGGAAATCAGTTTAGATCTTTTAATTAAGGGGAAGGTGCTCCTGTCTGCTCAGTTAAATGAGTTCATATATATGTGTAACTAGAAAGGGCTTAGAATGGAAGGTGACAATGTTAAGTACTATGTTCAATAAAAAGTAAAAACCTTGTGCGTGCGGAATCCTTTGTAGCAGGAAAAAATACTGGTTGAGTTATAAATAAATATAGATGGAGATCAGGCACATCAGGAGATCTGGAGATCACAAAAAGGCAGTGAGAATAGTGGTTAGTGTTGAAGTCCTGTCATGGGCCTGTGTTCCTGTGGTAGCTCTGGACCCAGGTTTGGTTGAAGAGAGATGAGTTCATTGTACTTTCTAGCACTAACTGGCCTTCGGTGCCCACTTCTCCAGTGTCTGTGATTCATCCTCAGGCCCCATAGGTGACCTTTTGATTTCATTGTGTCAGTGATGCCTAGAGAACTCTGAGTCTGTTCTCATCCTTCACCCCTTCCTTGCTGTTTGCAAGAGATGAGCTTTGGAGCCACTTTCTGTCCATATTCTCCAGATACCATTTTCTTCTGTTTCCTTTCACTCTTGCCTCGCCTCGCTGATACTTCTTATTTTCAAGTTTTTTGCCGCTCAAACATGTTCCCTTCTCTTCAGCCTAAAAGTCACTTATAATTTACCTTCATCTTAAATATATATATTTTTTTCTTGCCTTTTTAAAATTGGTGCTAGGGATTGAACTCAAGATCTTTGCACTGTTGGTTTGTTTTGGTTTTTTTGAGACAGAGTTTTACTAAATTGCTAGATTGCGTTAAAAATTGCTAAATTACCCGTCTAGGATTGAATTTGGGATCCTCTTTC